GCTCCCATGTGATTTAATCACAAGAGCTGATTTGTGCAGCTGTTACTAAGTGTTCCATCATGAGAAAGCTGTCATACTAGCCTTGCATGACCCTCTCCTGACAACCACAGCACACAATAGGAGATGGATTTTTTTTCATGTAGCACAATTTCCTTCCGATCTGTTCAAGCTGCCAGATCAATAGCTTGCTCCTTTTTACTGCTGCACAGCATTCCATATTCCACGATTCGAGTAAAACATGACAGCATAACCCTTGCCACGGAGCGCTGGTCTGTGCTGTTCAGCTTCTCGTTCCTGCACAGAAGGCTGCGAGAAGCCCCATGTACAGGTTTTTATGAGCTCACACGTATCTATTTCTTTGGGATAAGGACCCAGGAGTACAACTACAGGGTCACATGGCAAGTCCATCAGTTTTCTAAGAAACTGCCCAACTGCTATTTAAAGCAGCCATGTCACTCATTCCTCTCCTAGTTCTCGTCAAAATTACACAAGCTAGGGCCCCGGCGCGGTGGCGCAGTGGTTAAAGGTCCTCGCCTTGCACGCCCGGGATCCCATATGGGCGCCGGTTCTAATCCCGGCAGCCCCGCTTCCCTTCCAGCTCCCTGCCTGTGGCCTGGGAAAGCAGTCGAGGACGGCCCAAAGCTTTGGGACCCTGCACCCGCGTGGGAGACCCAGAAGAGGCTCCTGGCTTCAGATCGGCATAGTATCGGCCCGTTGCGCTCACTTGGGGAGTGAATCATCGGACGGAAGATCTTCCTCTCTGTCTCTCCTCTCTGTATATCCGCCTTTCCAATAAAAAAATAATAAAAATAAATCTTTAAAAAAAAAAAAATTACACAAGCTATTGTAAGTTCTTTACCTTTCCATACAAATTTTAGAAAATGTTGTCCATGTCTACAAAAACACTGTAGGTTTTTGATAGGGACTGGAAAGGAAGGACATCCATGCTGTGTTGCCTTCTAACATGAAACGCTGTGCCCCACCCCCCCATTTATTTAAGCCTTCTTTGGTATCTCTCATTTTGCTTTGTCAATTTCAGAATAAATCTTTGTTCGATGTGTATTAAGATGGACACCTAAGTATCTCATCTTCAGCAGCACTGCTTTAAATTTTGTTCCCCACACACTGACTCCGAATATTATAGAAATACAATCAGTTTTTCTGTGTTGGTCTCTAATCTATGATGTTAGATTCACATATTAGCAGTAACAACTTGGCAGGTTCCTTTGGATTTTCATACAGACAGCCCCATCCCCTGCAGGTAAGGACAGTCTATCTCCTTCCACCTGAGCTGCCTAGGGGGCCCATGTGGATTGAGAACGGTGCGTGTGCGTGCATTCCCGCCTTATTCTGAGTGCAGCAGGACAGCCAGTCCCACCGTAAAGCAGGGGACTGACTTTGAAGTCTTTGTACGTGCTATTGAGCAGCTGAAATTATTCCTTTCTATCCCTGTCTTCCTAAGAGCAGGCGAAGAGTAACATCTGAATGTTGGGCAAATAAGGACTCACCAAGAATCCTTGTTCGCTGCACACTAATACACTGGATATACGTCACGACTCGAGATAACTTCCATTAAATGCTGAGCTGCAAATATGAGAAATACTGAAGCAGGAGTGGTATACAGGCTTTTTGCAGATTTTTCCAGAAAGCTAACCACATCTGAAGTCTTGCACAATTGGGCCACCCCACAGGGCAAGTGGCAAGGCACCCACTGGCTTCAGCACAGCAGGGGCCCACAGTGACTCTCAGTCAGCAGGGCAGGGGCAGCGCCCTGGCGCCCACAGGGGAAACCAGCAGCCATGAGCTCTCCCCACCCACCTACACCGCTGCATCGCAAGCTCTACCACAGGAGGACAACGCCTGCAGGGAGATGCTAGTTTTCACACAAACCGCCTTCCCCCTTTCCCTTCCAACTCAGTGAAACCCACAGGAGCAGCTGAACCAACAGCTCGCAAGCATGATGTTGCCACCACTCTCTCCCCTTAATCCCTGGGCATGACAGAACAGACTGCAGGCAGGAGCACAGTGAGAGAGGACAGCAGAGTCCCAAACAGCCTGTAGGGACCTCTGGGTGCTCCTCTCTGGAAGGGAAGGAACTGCCTCAGGACAACCTCAGAGGGGAACTCAGCTCTAACTCCTCCCTGCTCAGAGCTCTACATTAGTACCAGCACACCTAGGAGAGACACAGGGCCAGGCAGGAGCCATGACGAACCACTGCGAACAGGGTAGGACAGTGCCCGAGCGAGGTACTGACAGTCTCCCCCACAGCAAACACAGCCTGCCACACCCTGTCCTTTCACACATCACAGGCTACCTAAAGAAACACAGATGGACAATTAGTAACATCCCCCACAGGCCTAAGAAAATCAGCACAACAAAAGGAGGAAACAAATTAACAAAAGAAAAACCCCCACCCCACCAAGAAAATCCAGTCAAATGCTTTGAGAAGAGTTAAAAATTATATATCCCAATCATTAACAAAACGGGGTCTTACCAAAAGACAGAGATTCTCAACTTGTCACTGGCAACTTTGGAAGGAGACACAGACAAAAAAGCAAGTGTAAAACATGTATATTTGAAATTGACAAGAAAATGAATTTCAATCCACATTTCTATTACCTGACTATCAATCAAATGTCAGGGCCTTTTTAGACAAAGGCTGTTGGGGAATGCTTTCACGAATCCTTTCTGAAAGGATTGCAGAGCTAACAAAGTAAAAATAACCAAGGATACAGATCAAGAAATTTGCAAAATGAAGCAAAAACAAATATTTACTATAAATAAAAACAAAGAAAACGTTTATGATTAAAAGCAAAGTAGAGGGCCTGGCAGCATAGCCTAGTGGCTAAATTCTCAACTTGCATGTGCCAGGATCCCATATGGGCACTGGTTCTAATCCCAATGGCCCTGCTTCCCATCCTGCTACTCCCTGCCTGTGGCCTGGGAAAGCACTTGAGGGTAGCGCAAAGCTTTGGGACCCTGCACACGCATGGGAGACCCAGAAGAGACTCCAGGCTCCTGGCTTCGGGTCAGCTCAGCTCCGGCTGTGGCGGCCCTTAGGGGAGTGGCCATCTTCCAGCAGACGGGGGACACACTATTTCCTCCTCTTTGTAAATCTCTTCAAATTAGAAAAATAAATAAATCTTTTAAGGAAATCTCTTGAGGAATGACTGAAAGAACCGTTGTGTCACAAAATGTACATGCATCATTCTTTGGCAGATATTGTCACGTTTCCTTCTAAACATCAAACCTTCTCCCAACAGTCTCAGCAGCACCTGGCCTGGCCGTTTTTCCCGGTGTGGCACGTCTGACACGGCACTGCTGTGCCCTGTCCCAACGAGGCCGAGCAGCTCTCCTGGTCAGACACTTGTGTGTTTTCTGTAAATTCTGGGTTTCCCTTTTTGATTAGGGTGATCCCACCAATCAAAAATCTCTGGATCCAATATTCCGATCAAAGATTTCAGTGTAGCTTAACTGGGGTGGATAAAAATCATTCATCCACCCTTTCTTTTCCAGACACAGCTTACATGAAGGGAGAAAAAAACAAAGAAACCAGGGTCTCAGTGTACAGACTGCTCAGCACCGCACCCCGGCACTCTTCAATGTGACTTGGTCATTAAACTGTAACCCAAATTCAAGCGATCTTCTGAACGCAAATTTAAAAAATAAAATATACAGACTCTACATCATGTGCATGTAACATAAGGATGTATTTTTCTAAAATTAAACTTAAAAAATGAAATGAGTGCATTTTTAGGTCAATAAATCCTTAAGAAGTAAGAGTAAACTCTTCATGAGCTTCCAAAAAGATCTACTCCCGAAGGGACAGAGCTGACAGGCTGAAAAGAAGTGAACATTTGTTTACGTATCTACTTGTGCCACTGTTGGGAGGGAGGCAGAGGGCAGCTGGGACCCCCTGGGGCTGAGACCCCTCCAGAGCACAGCATGCTGCAGCCACTTCGGATACCAGCTTCCCATTCTGAACAGGAAGACGCACAGTCACTGCACAGGCCCCTGGGAAAGCAAACCAGGTACTACAGGAATGAAAGACCTGTGTCAAATTTAACCCCACTTTAGGGATAAAGAACTGAGAGAGAGAGAGAGAGAGAGAGAGAGAGAGAGAGAGAGAGAGAGAGAGAGAGAGAGAGAGAGAGAGAGGTCAAGCTATCTAGTCAAGCTCACAGTTAACAAATGATTTTAATACCTAAACTACTTGCACTGCACTGTAGTATTTCATAGTAGTTTTACAAATATGGGTCTCCAATCATTGCTAAAGGATATTCACAGGAAGGAGATGACTGGGGGTCACTCCCAGAAACAGCTAAGGAGGGAACGGTACTAGATCTTAAGGGGAAAAAACTCACAGGGAGCAGCTGAGATCAGCTCAGCATCACTCCGCACCTTTGCTCTGGCAGATCCACTTTAGAAACTAGCCATTTAGCAGTCCATCGGAACCTGCAGAGAACACCTGGTACCACAACAGAGGATGAGGGACAGAATAAGTCGATCATCTACCCCCGACGTGTTGGCAGTGAAAATCTGAGGTGAACTATGTCAGCCAGTGGATTCTGGAGACATTTCATCATGCTCGGAATGGCGAGACTGGCAGCAATTCAGAACTGCTGAACTATCAAAACCACCTGAGCAGGACCCGCGAAGCATCCCCACGCCGGGGACCCTGGGATGGGGTGGGATGCTGGGTGAGGCTTCTCCCTTTATCCCCCTCCTCACCCCAGACACACACACATAAAAATGTGGAAACAGTGATCTTACCCACTTTTATGTAACCCTTGACCCTTTGTGTCCTAATTTTAAAAAAAGAAAGAAAAAGAAACTAGCCGTTTGAAGGTTGAAATAAACCAACTGCTAGCCTCAGGGATCTGTGGCACTCCTGAAACTCCACTAAGGGAACTGAGATTCCTTGAGAAATCATTTTTGCATAAACGTCAATTAAATAGCTGGCAGAATCCAAGCGAGCCCCTGCAGAGCACGTGACCTACCTACTGCAGGTGCGTCATACTCGTCGCCAAGCAGGATTTCCGGAGCAGAATAGGCAAGAGACCCACAGCTTGTCGTGAGCTTCTTCCCTGGCTGGAACTTGTTGCTGAAACCAAAGTCTGTCAACTTTACAAGACCTTGCTTTTCAAAGAAGACTACATTCTCTGGTTTTAAGTCTCTATGAACCACATGGAGTTTATGGCAGTAAGATATAGCGTGCACTATCTGAGCAAAGTACTTCTTGGCCAAATCTTCATTAAGACCTTCCTCGTGCTTCATTATGTAATCAAACATATCGCCTCCATCCCCAAGTTCTAGAATAAGATACAGCTTGGTCTGGGTGTCAATGACCTCATACAGGCGGACGATGTTAGGATGCTGCACCAGCTTCATGCATCTCACTTCCTGGAACAGATGGCCAGTGGCTAGAGTGTCCAGTTTGGTCTTGTCAATAACTTTGACTGCCACCTTCTCGCCTGTGAAGACATGCCTGGCAAGCTTAACCACTGCAAAATGACCGCGCCCCAAGGTTTTATCCAGATCGTATAATCCAGCAATCTTGCCATCGTATCCTCTCTTGAATCCTGCCATGCTGGTCAACAGAAGGCAAAATATTCAGAGTGTCTGAGATGGAGTTTCTCATATAAGAATATCAGATGAAGATAAGAAACTCATTTTCAGTCTCATCAAGGACATCTGCAAAAAAGGGAAAAGTGAAAATTAAGTTTCTGTAACTTTTCCTTCTAGAACAAACTTTTACATGGCTTCATTTTGTCTCTTATACTTTCAGAAAAGCTTCAGGTAAATAAATTGAGCCACAAAATAAGTCAAGGTAATTTGTGAGAACATATTTCTATATTTAGACTAAGTTTTTTTTTTTTAAGATTTATTTATTTATTGGAAAGTCAGATATACAGAGAGGAGGAGAGACAGAGAGGAAGATCTTCCATCCAATGATTCACTCCCCAAGTGAGCACAACGGCCGATGCTATGCCGGTCCGAAGCCAGGATCCAGGAATCTCTTCCAGGTCTCCCACACAGGTGCAGGGTCCCAAGGCTTTGGGCCGTCCTCGACTACTTTCCCAGGCCACAAGCAGGGAGCGGGATGGGAAGTGGAGCTGCCGGAATCAGAACCAGTGCCCATATGGGATCCCGGCATGTTCAAGGCGAGGACTTTAGCCACTAGGCCACACTGCGGGGCCCTACAGTTAGTATTTTTAAAGTTGAGAACTTAACTACATGCTGAATTTTACAAACTAAAAAGAATTTTATGGAAGCAACTTCTTGGCGATATCATAAATAAGAAAATTGGAGTTGATAAATTCTATTTAAAAACAAATAATTCGAGGCCACCACTGTGGCACAGTGCGTTAAGCTGCCACCTACAATGCTAGTATCTCAAATGGGCTCCAGTTAGAAAGGTGGCTACTCCTTTTGAGATCCAGCTCCCTGCTAACATGCCTTGAAAAGCAGCAGCAAGTGACCCAAGCAATTGGGCCTCTCTACTCACACGGATCCCGGCTTCAGTCTGGCCCAGCCTTGGCTGTTGCAGCCATTTGGGGAGTGAACCAGCAGTTGGAAGATTACTTGATGTGTTTCTCTCTTTCTCATTTTCTCTACAACTTTTGATTTTCAAATAAATAAATATTTAAAATAAAATTTCCAGAATTTGAAGTAATGTCTTTAAAAGCATTTGGATAAAACCCAACAATTTTTCCCTACTGTCCAAAGATTAGCAGTATTTCAAGCACACACAAAAAAATTCTTTCAGCACAGCCTTCTTCAACCTTCCGGGCTAGAATTCCCTTCTCTGCACAGTGGCTTGCAATCCCTGCATCTCACGGAATCCTGGTATCTCAGCCCAGCATCTGCCCAGAGGACAGCAGGTGCCTGAGGATGGCTACCCTACCTAGCTCAGCTACCCTAGCTCGCACTCCAGTCTGTTCTCCCAGCACAACAGGGCTTATGCCTAGTTTTCAAAACTTCCTTACATTTTTGGGATACAACTTTCTTTCAAAATATGGAGGAGGTCAACTGTTTCATTAGTGCCTGCCACAGGAAAGACAAGGCACACAGCAGGTGCTTATAAACACAGGCTGACTACTCCTCATTCTTTACACTTTGTTATGGCTTTCCAACATTCAGATATAACCCATCATGATCTATTTATATACTGAGCGTAAATGACCACGTATTCTTTCTTTCAGGCCATTTAAATCCTAAAGACTATATATGATCTTAAAGACCCAATTTCATATGGCAGTCAAGATTCTCAAACTGTATCAAAATGAAAAACTGTAAGTAGACTAGTTTCTTAAAATTGATCTTGATTCCAAAGAAATAAATACATACACATAATTACACAAATTAAGGTGTAAATCTCATAGGCTCAACTTCCACTGAGACCATCCTAACTAAAATGTAATAGAATTGAGTAAAGGAAGTCACTGAGGAACACAGCAGTCCCCAGAAGGAGCTCCGAGCCCCGCCCCCCGCCCCCGGCACATCTGCAGCTGCCACTGGGCCTCTCTGACACTCCCAGCACAAGGCTCCCTTCTCAGGTACCTGTTAGCAGGACCAGGACTAACCAGAGTTCACCCACGGAGCGGAACATAATCCCAAGACTCTAAATCTTCACACACAATTGGGGGTGTTTCTTTTTTTCCTTTTTTCTTTTCTTTAAGAAGCATAAGCACTAGTAATTTCTTGAAACTTCATCCCTCTTTGAAACAACAGAGGAAAAAGTCATTTATTGCAAAACCACCAGGGCACTTGCACCAAACTCATCAGACTGACACTCCTGACAAAGCAGCAGCATCTCACCTTCACAGCCGGGGAAGCAGACTGGTGGAGGATGCAAAAGACTCCATTCGGTGCAGATACTAACACGAAGTCCTACTTCAGATTTTCAAGCCCACACCCTTTACAAAGATTCAACCACTCTAATCAATGTTACTTTTAGGATAATAGTATCTTCAGAGGAAAAGATCAACTCCAAAAGGAGCCATTCTTCCAGCCATATCACCTCAAAAATTATCTGAACCAGTATTATCTGAATCCAGTACCTCAGACATTGGGCTGCTACCACAGGCTAACCAAGTCCACGTTAGTGGTCTCCTGGCATGCTGCTTAACGCTGTAGCCATTACAGCGACAATCAATAGCACTGCTATTCACAGCCACATCACCTGACCAGTGTTCTCAAGAGACAGTAACGATGAGCCCTGCTGTAAGCAGACATTCCAAGTAACGTGGCCTAGGAAACGGGCCAGATGTAAAAAAGACTTGGAAATGAAACCTACCCTGTGCTGTTTCTGCAAATTCATTTCAAAAACTCAAGTCAATCCTGTTTCTACTCAGATGAAACCTATTCAATACACAGCTGTAGGAGGAGGAAAAAACCTCTTCCCTACCATGTACCTTCCCTGTCCCATGAGTTAGCAATGTTAATAATAATTTAATACTTTTCATTAGCAGGGAAATCCAAATTGAAATAACTCCCTTTATTTGGATAGCAGCTTCCCATAAGAAACTTAAGTACAGATCTATTTAAAATTTGAAAAGAATATCTTTAAATCTCCAACTTCAATTAATTATATGGGTGGTAATTACTCCTAAAATTCTACCCAAATACATCTAAATTTCCACTTCACAAGCTTACAAATGCAACTTTAGCTCTCAACACAGATTCTTTCAGGCTATTTCTAACATGAAATTCTTAGGTGTCCATTAATTTGTGTTCCTGGAAAGTGGCATATAAGTAAGACTTGAAGAATGAATCTGAATTAAAACCATTTTAAATGGCTTGTATTAAGACCATTTTATTTCAATAAATTGTTTAAGTCTTTCTGCCAGGGTCCCAGACACCCAGAGAGGTTACTGCCAATGCCTTACTGCCTCCCCGTCCTGCGCCGGGCAAAGGGCAGAACGAAGTGACCCGGGATCCCCAGCAAGCCCATGGAACCCACAGCAAAATGACCCCTCTCACAATGCAAGATTCTGCTGCTTGGCGAGGGCATCCCTTGCTTGGAGCCTACAACAAACGATTAAGTCACACACAGAAGAAGGGATTACCTCAACTGATGGTTGGGAAGACAAATAGCCTTGTTAGTAAACAGCTTTTTAAGTAATGGCCCGCTGTCCAATTCTACCAGCAAGGGCAATTTGAGTCAGTACAAAATTATTAGGTCATTTTCTGATCTCTGAGGAGCTTTTCTGTGGCTGAAAGTCATTCTGAACATTGATGCCACATGTCAAAATGTGGCTTACAGAAAATAAACGTGAATTTATACCAGGCGCCCAAGACACACCCGCAAACTGCCTACTGACCAGTCCTCGTTATCGCTGTGTATTGTCAGTTGCTTTTTCCTAAAAGAAAATATTTCAGTGCTGTTCTACCTGTTTTAACTTTGCTTAAGGTCAAACTACAAACACAGAGGTCAGATTCCAGACAAAAGTAGAAAATGTCCACGCCTGTCCGAGCGCCCAGTCTCCCCACTCCGCTTGCCAGCCTCTGGGAATCCAGCTCCAGAAAGCAGCAGCTAAGGACCCAAATCTCAGAGTGAAGGGTGCAGACACTCCTCCAGGCGGACAGGGCAGAGACCATCCCACCAAAGTGACAGCAGAATGCGACTTTCCCAATGCCCCAGGCTGCTCCCCCACACTCCTCAGGGAGGCTGCCCCTGGCTGCCAAGTGGCCTGCCCTAGGCCCATGGGGCTTCAGAGCCCACTGCACACTCATGAGCCCCCTCCCCCGGGGCTCTGAAACGCCCACAAACAGGCACAATGGCAGCCCTCCAGGAGGCAAGCAGAAATCCATTAGGACACCTGCAAGCACAAAACACCTTCACCTTGGGGGCCTGACATTTGGCAGGTGAGAAAGAAACTCCCTCTAAGAACAAAATTTCAAGCAGAGCACTGAGGCAGCCTCACTGGCCCTTCCAGGACAACAGAAAATCACAACTGAAATATTGATCCCGGCCAGGCCTTTCATACTATGCACTAAGAATGAGTGGTGTCGGGCACACGGTTAAGCCTGAGCTCACACTGTGCACCTGTGAGAAGGGAGTGCAGAGAGTACACGGGAAAGGGGAGAGGAGAAGGAAAGGGGTGACCCCCAGGTGTGAAGCTGAGTCTACTGCGGAAAGGTGGAGAAAAGAAGAGGCAGGCAGGGCTGCAACACAAAGTAGCCAGCAAAGCCACAGCTTGGTTAGGCAGCGACAGGCCGGGATGCTCTGCTCGCACCCTCAGAGCCCAGGGTGACACCGTCTTCCCCACCAGCCTCACTGCTTCTCTTTCCAACAGCGTCTGTTTTCTCCAGGCTTCGTGGCATGGCACTGTGGTTCTCCACTGACTGAGCATTGCTTCTGAAGGTCAAGGGAGGATCTGCATCCCAGCTCCCCTGTCGTTGGCCACCTCAGCAAGGACTTCAGCAAGGGACTAACTAGCCTGCTCTGTGGGGTCAGCCTGCTCGTCAGACAGTGGTGCTAACTAAACCTCACCGGCTGTGGCAAGAATCAAGTGAGTTAATGGGACAAGCCCGGCACAGAGCTCGCACTCGGTCAAGGCGGCTATGACTATGACCAGCACCACAGCTGCACGCACACTCAACGCCCAGGCAGAAAGGCTTAGCTGTTCAATATTATAAGCCAAGGAGGGCTCTTGTGCTTTCATAAAAATTTCTGTTCAGTTTCCTAA